GGACAGCAAACCTGCCCAGTTAAAGTACGATCTGACCCGAGCTACTACTACGAGCTTCCCCTTCCCGACATGCGGGGAGGTGGTGCGAGTCGGCAGCAAGGACGATGGCTTAGGGACCCAATCCTCTGAGCCCGGAAACCACCCCTCAGTTTCCCCCTTTCGATCGTCAAGGCTTTGAGAGCGGGTCTGACCCTCCCTGCTGTAGTGAAACCAGCCCAGTGCTCCCAGCGGGTCTGTGGGACCCCCCGGGCAGGGAAAGGGCAGGGGAGCAGCATCCCCTCGGCGCACAGCAGAGCTGCTGCGGTTTGCCCCCACTGGTGTTATCGCTGCCCCCTCCCCAGCCGGCCTTGGCTTGGCCGCTCCTGTCCCTGCCTCGGTCACCTGCCCGGCGAGGGGCTGGCACTGCAGCCCACGGCAAACTGGTGCAGCTGGACCATGGCAAACTGGCACGGCTGGAATGCTCCCAGCTCCAGCCCTCAGGGGATGTGCCGGGAACAGGCTATCCCTCCCCTGCCCACGCCACCCACCGGCTCCTCACCGGGCTGCCTGTGCCAAGACCCTCCTCTGGGTATGCCCAGAGCCCGGAGCACCCCAGGGACCGCTCGCCTCCTCCCCTCCCTGGCACACAGCTCCCGGGGCAGCCAGGACCCGTCCAGCTGGAGGAGAGGTGCAGCGTGGGCAGGGTGGGGGGCACCCCCTCGGGCAGCAGTTTGGAGGGAGGGGAGCACTGGGCTCCGCTTTGCAAGGTCTGTGACGGGAAACGTGTCCCCGAGCCGGAGCTGGGGATGGGACGGACATTGGGGGGGACAGGAAAGCTGGAACAACCCCGCCCAGGGAGCCGGCTCCGGTGGGGCCGCATCCTGGCTCTGCCCCACGGCGGACAAGCACCCACCTCTCTCGCGGACGAAGTAAGCCAGGTAGAGGTCGAGCTCCTTGACGGAGACGCTGATGTGGTGGGGCTGGACGCCGAGGATGGGGTTGGTGCACTGGCCCGACTTGACCAGGCGCTCGCCGTCGGTGCTCTCCAGCGGGATCCCTTTGAAGAGGATGACCATGACCAGGTCCAGCCGCCACACCTTGTCTGCCTGCCGCAGGCAGTCGATGCGGCGCATCTTCCCCTTCTGGTCGGGGTTGGAGAGGACGCAGCACGAGGGTTTCTTGCCCGTGATGGAGAGCACGAAGTCCTCGCGGCACTCGGGCCGGATGTCCTTGCGCAGCTTGGCCAGGAGGCGCGAGGCCCATTTCTGCTTCACCTCCGGCTTCTCGCTCAGCAGCTCGTCCTTCACTGCCCTCTCCTCATCCTTCGTCATCCTCTTCTCGTGCTTCTTGAAGTACTTGCGCTTGCGGGCCTGCAGGTTGAACCAGGTGTAGGCGAAGGCCCGGACGTGGGGGAGCAGCGCCTCGATGAAGGGGTGGAATTCATCCTGCGGGAGCAGAGGGAGAGGTGGTCACTCCCGGCCGAGCCCCCCCACACCCATCCCGGGACGGCTGGGGAGCCCGCAGGGACCCGCTGGGGACATCCCCACCAGGGACATCCCCGCCAGGCTGCATCCCAGCGCAACCAGGAGGAAGAGCTGTGGCCGAGGCGCGTGCTTGCCGGGGACGGGGAACCCCTCCCCATGCAGCAGGATCCCCCCCCCAACCCAGCAGCCCCCCATAAATCCCACTGACGGCGGCGCTCCCAGGCCAATAACCTGCCGGTCGGGACTGTGGCATACCGGAGCCGGCAGCGCCGCGGAGGGGCAGGTGCTTGCGCAAGGCAGCACCCGGACCCTCTCCCCTTCCCACCCACGCGTGCCGGGATCTCCTCCCGACAGGCGCAGAAATCCCGCCTGACATCGCGCCCGCTGGAGCCGCCGACGCCAGGCGCTGCCAGACTGCAGCACCCAAGGGACG